TCGATGTCGCTGTCGTCGTCGGCATCGGTGTCGTGGCCAAGTGCCATGTGGTACCTACCGTCACGGTCTTGTCTGAAGAGGTCTTGCGACCAAGTTGCGGGTGGGAGGGTGGGATGTTTGCACGAGCAGTGGAGAGGACAGCTTCAAGACGGTCAAGATTAATTGCACCATATAGATAGCACCAGTCACATGGCACCACATAGATTAAGCGACCTAGATCACACCACATTTATCGCATTACATTGGCTGCACAAATAAATTACACAACGTATATTCCACATGTACTGCACCGTATATATATATATATATATATATATATATATATATATATATATATCTCTCTCTCTATATATATACAAGACTGCCGTGGCGCTTCGCGCCATGCACCTTGGTCCTTGAAGTTTAGTATGCAGGCGGAATAGCAGAAGGTCAAGCCGACAATTTAGCGATAACTCCTTGTTGCCTTTTCCGGCATCGCCGCTATAATAATTTTATTCGTTATCCTTCCTCCATGCTTCTTTTTCTTTATTTTCGCCATACCCTTCGCATTCTCCCCATCCTCCTCAGCTCTTTTTTACGGAGGCTCCTCCTTGGAGAGCCTCTGGGGGCCTCACAAAAGTTGTTTCAGGCTTTCTTAAGGTCTTCTGCAGGCCTCCTGGGCGTATTCTGGGGGCCTCCGGGGGTTTCCTCGGGCCACCCTGCCTCCAACCGCGGTCTCCCTGAACGACCGGGTCACGATTTGGAATGCTTCGGAGGGTGTCTTTGGGCCATCTTGGGCCGCCAGGGGGCTCTCTGAGGGCCATCTTGGACCCGTGTTGTGCCGTTTTGGGGCTCTCTTGGACTGCCTGGAAGCCCTTTCGGATGGTTGTGGGGCGATTTGGGAGCCTCCCAGGCGGCTTCGGACGCCCAAAGACCGCCGTCTTGGAGCGTCGGGAAGCCGAAAAGAGGAAAACCCCAAATTCACCAAAAACCAAAAGAAAATCAATGATTTTTGCCTCGGGGGGGCCGCCTTGGGAGTGCTCTTGGAGACCTCTTTGGGGCCGTCCTGGAGGCCTCTTGGGCCATCTTGAGGTCACGTCGGTCACTCTTGGAGCGCTCTTGTGCTGTCTTGGGGGTCTCTGGGACGTCTCCGATGACCCCCCTGATCGCCCTAGGTGTGCTGGGAAGGCTTGGCAAAACGCCCTGCGAGGCCCGGGGGCCGCTTCGAGGCTCGTCCGGAGGGTCCCAAAGTCCCAGATCCCGGGAGTCCGTTTTTTTTTTTGGGGGGGGGACGGGTTCCCCCACGCCTGGGCTTGTAAAAATGTGGGAAGCGGAATACATATATATATATATATATATATATATATACATACATACATATATATACATATATGTATATGTATGTATGTATGTATGTATGTATGTATGTATGTATGTATATATATATGTATACACATGTATATATTGCGCCACATCTAATGCACCACGTCTATTAAACCTCATATTGTGCACTGCGCACATGGCGCCACACTTGTTGAATGCACCACACATAATGCACAACACATATTGCACAACATGTATCGCACCACGTATACTGAACCACACAGAGTTGACCGCACGCATTGCACCATATATATACATATATATATATATATGTATATATTGCAGCGCTCACGTTGCACCACATAGATGGCACAACATGGATTGCACCACGTAGATGACAGCACATCTGTTGTACAGCATATGTTGCAGAACATATTTTGGCTGCATATATCGCACCACATCGATCCCACCACACACTGCACCACATATACTGCACCGCATGCCTACACATATTGCACCGCGCATATTGCGTCACAGAGATTGTACCACACATATCAATATATATATATATATATATATGTATATCAGCATTGCATCACATACATCGTACCACGTATTTTTCACCTCGCAATGGTACTACATATATTGCACCGAATAGGGTGCACAACATATTTGCACCACACAGATCGCGCTGCATAGATCACACCACATAGTTTTCGCGACATCTATTGCGTCACCCAGATTGCACCGCATATATTGCACAACGCGGACTGCACAACATAGATCGCACCACATATTGTGCACCACATATTGTGCACCACATATTGTGCACCACATATTGTGCACCACATGGATTGCACCGTATAAGTTGCATCTCGTGGATTGCACCACTCACATGGCACCACATAGATGGCACGCCATACGTTGCACCACAGAGATGGCACCACATATATTGCACAGCATAGGTGGCACCACGTACATTGCACCACATATATTGCACCGCGTAGAGCGCACCGCATGTGTTGCACCATACAGCGTGCACTACATATACTGCTCCACATAGACTGCACCAGATAGGTCGCACCACATTTATTGTACCACATGTATCGCACCACATGTATCGCACCACAGATTGCACAATATTTATTGCCCCACATCTATTGCATCACATAGATTGCGCCGCATAGTTTGCACCACGTGGATTGCACCACGCGCGTTGCATCACATAGAAGGATCGCACCCTATATATATATGTATATATGTATATATGTAGATGTATATATATAGATATATTGCACCACGCATATTGCACATAATCTATTCTCCTTTCTAAAAAGAGAATAGTGTCTACCCCCCCCCGGCGTTATCCGTTCCCCTTTCGGGTATGTAAATCATATATGATTCTGACCAACTGTCCATCCGAAATATGAATTTACTATTCCAGGGGGGCCGGTATCGGCCCCCCTGAGGTTCCCTTGTAAAAAAACGATACGCGGGGACATCTTTTGTTCTAACATAACACTTTCTCACGAATCCCTTGCAACAAATGGGACGAAGTGCGCACGCGCGCGTCGTCGCGCGCGCATGCCGAAATCCTTCAAAAATCTTAGGTGTCGGAAGGATTTCGCAATCGAGTTTCCAAAACACACACAAAAACACACGGTTTCGCAACACTGATTTGCTAACAAAGCCTACGCGCGAGTTCTTGCGAAATCATAGGTTTTTCAAGATTTTCACAAAATGCAACCAAACGGGCTTCGCGCGCGCGCATGTCGAAGTCTGTCGAACGCCCTTGCGCGTGTGCCGTCGCGAGAATCTTCTGTAAAAAACGGGACGAAGTGCAGACGCGCGCGTCGTCGCGCGCGTATGCCGAAATCCTTCAAAACCCGTCGGTTTCGGAAGGATTTCAAAATCGTGTTTCCATATACCTACAGAAACACAAGGTTTCGCAACACGGATTTTCAACAAAAGCGTGCGCGCGCGCTCTTGCGTCGTCGTCGTCGTCGTCGTCGTCGTCGTCGTCGCCGTCCTCCCTTCTCCCGCGTCGTCGTCGTCGTCGTCGCCTACGTCCTCCTCTGTCTTTCCTCGTGTTCGTCGTCGTCGTCCTCTTCGGCGTCGTGGTCGTTTCCGTCGTCGTTGTCTCCGTTGTCGTCCTTCCTCCTCCTCTCTCGTCGTCGTCGTCGTCCGTCGTCGTCGTCCGTCGTCGGCGTCTCGTCGTCGTTCCTCCTATTTCGTCGCCGTCGTCGTCGTCGTCGTCGTCGTCGTCGTCGTCGTCGTTGTCGTCGTCGTCTTCCCTCCTCCCTCGTCGTTGTCGTCGGCGTCGCCGTCCTTCCTCCTTCTTCGTCGTTCGCGTCGTCTTCCCTCCCTCCTGCCTCGTCGTTATCGTCGTTGTCGTCGTTGTCGCCGTCGTCGTCCTCCCTCCTCCCGCGTTGTCGTCTTCGTTGGCGACGTCGTCGTCGTCTTGGTCGTCGTCGTCGGCGTCGGCGTCGTCGTCGCCTTCGTCGTTGTCGACGTCGGCGTCGTCGTCGTCGCCGCCGTCGTTGTCGTCGTCGTCGGCGTCGTGACGTCGTCGTCGTCGGTGTCGTCGTTGTCGTCGTCGTCGGCGTCGTCATCGTCGTCGTCGTTGTCATCGTCGTCGTCGTCGTCGTCGGCGTCGGCGTCGTCGTCGTCGTCGTCGTCGTCGTCGTCGTCGTCGTCGTTGTCGGCGTCGTCGAAGTCGTTGGAAACGACGTCGGTGTCGTCGTAGTCGTTGTCGGCGGCGTCGTCGTCCTTGTTGTCGCTGTCGTCGTCGGCGTCGCTGTCGTTGCCAAGTGCCATTTGGTAACCACCGTCACGGTCTCACGAGATTTTGCAAACCAAGTTGCGGGTGGGTGGGTGGGATGATTGCGCGAGCAGTGGAGTTGACAACTTTAAGTTCGGCAAGTGACTTGCACCACACACGCACGCACACACACACCACGTAGATTGCACCACATAGATTTCACCACATAGAGTGCTCCACGCATTTTGCACCACATAAGTTGGACCACATATATTGTACCACATTCATTGCAGCGCGTAGCTTGCATCTCATATATTGCACGTCATATATTGCACCACAGACATTGCACAGCATAGATCGCACCACATAAGTTACACAACGTATATATACATTTGTATATCTGGCTCAACGTATATGGCACAACATACATGTCTAACAATTCACTGTTCGGGGTCCACGCTGGCTAACATACCAATCAGGAACTGTGACAAACCCCTCCCCGAAGGGGAAGAGGAGAGATGGAAGAGGAAACTCTCTAAACCACACCTCCGCCCAGAGGGCTGGTGGAACTTTCGGAGGTCACTCGGATCGGCGCTGTGCCGGGCTCCCTATGCGTGTCTCCGTCGCCGTCTGTGAGAATAAGGTGTACGAGGACGATGTTGAGGAGGACAATGACGAACAGTATGAGGACAACGGGTCCTGGAGGACACGGTTTTTTGTATTTGTTTATTCATCAATCGGGCTTCTAAGGAGGACGAGGTTGGGAAGAGGAGAAGGATGAAGCCTGGAGGAGGAGGAGGAGGAGGAGGAGGATGAGGAGGAGGAGGATGAGGAGGATGAGGAGGGGGGAGGGGGAGGGGGGAGGAGGAGGAGGAGGAGGAGGAGGAGGAGGAGGAGGAGGAGGAGGAGGGATGATGGCGCTCGCCCGATCTGCCAGGCCATTCCTATGTGTTCACGGGGTGGGAGATTGTCTACCCGCTGATCGCAAGGCTCCCTCCCTTCCGTTCCACGCCCTCGTCCTCCTCCCGCCTCCCTGCCTCTCTCCCTCTTCCGCCTCCCCACCCCGCTCCCCCTCGGCACCGCGCCCAGGGGGGAAAGCACTGGGAGCGGGCCTTCTCAGAAGGCTCAGAAGGCCTCCGGCCTTCCTGGGAGCCTTCCCGAGCCCACTCTGAAGCCCCGACGCCTTTGAGAAGGCCTGCCCCCTCTCGCTTCTCCCCCTTCGACGCGCCGCCTATCCGCCTCCACCGCTTGCTCGTCCTTCGGACCGGCTCAGAATCGAGATGCATCCGTTCCAGAGCGCTTCGGACTGCTCTGCAACGGCCGCGCCGCCCGAGACATCCCCCGAGCCCGCCGATTCTCAGGGCCTCTCGCTTTGGATCGGTCCACTTGTGTCTCGATCCTGCCTTCGCCTTGCTTGCTCGTCCTCTCTCCTCCCCCGTCCCTGCGCCCCTGCGCTCCCTCGGGCGGGAGCCTCCTGTGGCCGAGAGCGCGCCGCGGCGCTGCCTTTGCCAGAGCCCCTGCGACGGGCGGCGAGCTCTCCCTCGGCCTGTCCATGAGTGGGAGAAGGAGGAGGAGGAGGAGAAGGGAGGAGGAGGAGGAGGAGGAGGAGGAGGAGGAGGAGGAGGAGGAGGCGGAGGCGGAGGCGGAGGCGGCGGCGGCGGAGGAGGAGGAGGAGGAGGAGGAGGAGGAGGAGGAGGAGGAGGAGGAGGAGGAGGAGGAGAGGAGGTCCTCCTCCTCCTCCTCCTCCTCTTCCTCATCCTCCTGAAGGAGCCGTGCCCGACGTCGACGCCCACACCCCCGACAACGACGACGACGACGGCGACGACGACGACGACGACGACGACGACGTCGACGCCCACGCCGCCGACGACGACGAAGACGACGACGGCGACGACGATGGACAACCGACCGACGCCCACTACAATGCGACGCGACGACGCCGGTGGCTGCGCAGGCGACGACGACGACGGCGACGACCATCGATTGCAGACGACGACCGTGACGTCGACAACGAGCTCGACTCGCCTCGATTTCCCTCCCGTTGGGGTCCGTGCGTCCGATCCGCCCGTTAGGGTCCGCCCGCCCGCCCCGCCCGTTGGGGTCCAAGCCCGCGCCTGCACGAAAGCCCGCCCGCCCGCACGAATGTCTGGCCCGCCCGCGCGTGCGGGCCCGCCCCCGCCCGATGGGCTCGCTGTCTTCCTTTCTCTCCACGGCGCCCAAGTCACCAACATGGCGGCCGCGCGTACGTGACCATAGTCGGGCCAGCGCCTGGACAGCCTCGCCCACGGCAGTGGCTTCGGCGAGGAATGGACGAGACGGGCTCGCTGTCGCCCTCCTGGTAGGGCCCGACCGCTCGATGGCTCTCAGGCCCGCCCGCCGAGGGCCGCTCCGCGGGGAGGAGCGCTGGGCCCGCCGCCGAGGGCCTGGCCCGCCGCCGGGGGCCCGCCCGCCGCCGAGGGCCCGCCGCCGAGGGCCCGCCGCCGAGGGCCCGCCCGCCGGCCGGGGCCGCCGAGAGGTTCTCGGTCGCCCGGCCGCCCGCCAGGGTGCGCCCGCCCGACCCGCCCGTTTATGGGGCCTTTGCGTTAGGGCTTTGGTGATCCGCCCGCGTCGTCGTCGCCGTTTTGTCGGTCGTCGCAGTCGTCGTCGTCGTCGTCGTCGCCGTCGTCGTCGTCGTCGTCGTCGTCGTCGTCGTCGTCGTCGTCGTCTTCGTCGTCGTCGTCGTCGTCGTCGTCGTCGTCGTCGGCGGCGTGGGCGTCGACGTCGTCGTCGTCGTCCTCGTCCTCGTCGTCGTCGTCGTCGTCGTCGTCGTCGTCGTCGCCGCTGCCGCCTCTGTCGTTGTCGACGACGTCGTCGTCGTCGTCGTTGTGCAGGTTCAGGTTGTCGTCGTGGAGGTCGCTGATATTGCCGTCGTGGGCGGCGTCGTTGTCGCTGGCGTCAGCGTCGTCGTCGTTGTCGCCGTCGCCGTGGTCGTCGTTGTCGTCGTCGTGGTCGTGGTCGTGGTCGTGGTCGTGGTCGTCGTCGTCGTCGTCGTCGTCGTCGTCGTCGTCGTCGTCGTCGTCGTCGTCGTGTGCAGCTGCAACGGGGGGGTGGTCCGGATCCCTTCCCCCTCGAGCTTGGGGCTATTTTTCAGTGTGTGTGTGTGTGTGCGCGTGGAGCCCGCATTTTCGGAGGGTCCCTCTGGGCAACTTGGCTTGGCTTCAAGCTAAGGGCCTGTGAAACGCGCCCTCTCCCTCCTACCCTGCCTCCTCCCCCTCCTCCTCCCCCCCTTCATTCTTATTTTTTCATATGCCCGCTGACCGGGAGGCTTCCCTTGGAAGAGCGCGGCGAGCAGTGGACAGGACCGGCCTTTTCGGCGGAGCGGCGTGTCTTTTTCCTGAGTGTATGCTGGCCGAGGATTGGGAGGAGGAGGAGGATGACGTGGAGGAGGACGAGGAGGAGGAGGAGGAGGAAGAGGAAATGTGGTGGCGCAGGGAGGAGTGGTAATAGCTATGACAACGACGACGAGTAATTATGGATAAATGGATTGGCGGGTGGGTGGTTGGGAAGGTGGGTGGGTGGGTGGATGGATGGATGGATGGTGGTGATGGTGGAGGTGGTGGTGGTGGTGGTCGTGGTGGTGATGATGAGGAGGAGGATGAGGAGGATTTCGGTGATACTGATGCTGCTGCTGCTGCTGCCAGTGATGATGATGATGATGATGATGATGATGATGAAAATGATGATGATGATGATAATGATGATGATTATGATGATGATTATGCTTGGGATGATGGTTCTGATGGTGATGATGTTGATGATGAGATGGTGATGGTAATGATGCTGATGAGAACGATGATGATTTAAATGCTGATGATGCTGATGAGGAGGAGGATGAGTATTAATCAGATGATGATGATAATGCTTATGATGATGATGGTGATTATGATGATGATGCTTATGATGAGGATGATGATGATGGTTTTGATGATGCTGCTGATGATGACTTACAGAATGATGATGAGTATGCTTCTGATGATGATGATGATGACGATGATTATGCTGATGCTGCTGCTGATGAAGATGTATATGGTGATGATGCGTATGATGGTGATGCTGCGCTGATGATGATGATGATGATGATGATGATCATGAATACGAATATTTTCATGCTGACGACTATGAACTTGATGATGATGGTATGATGTTGATGATCTTATGATGATGAGGATGCTGGTGATGATGATGCTGATGATGCTGATGCTGATGCTGCTGCTGATGAGGTTGATGATGATGCTGATGCTGCCGCTGCTGAATATGATGATGATGCTGATGATGATGACGATGATGATGACGATGATGATGATGATGATGATGATGATGACGATGGTGGTGGTGGTGATTGTGGTCTATATGCTGATAATTCATCTGCTGCTGCTTCTGCTGCTTGCTGCTGCTGTTCATGATGATGATGATGACGATGATGCTGATGCTGATGCTGATGATGATCCTGATAATGATGATGATGATGATGATGATGATGATGATGATGATGATGATGATGATGATGATGATGATGATGATGATGATGATGATGATGATGATGATGATGATGATGATGCTGATGCTGATGACGACGACGACGACGACGACGACGACGATGATGATGATGATGATGATGATGCTGATGATGATGATGATGATGATGATGATGATGATGATGCTGATGATGATGATGTTGATGATGATGCTGCTGTTGATGCTGATGATGATGCTGCTGCTGCTGATGATGATGATGATGATGATGATGGCGGTGGTGGTGGTGGGGTGGTGGTGTAGATGCTGATGATTCACATGCTGTTGCTTCTGCTGCTTGCTGCTGCTGCTTGCTGCTGCTGCTGATGATGATGATGATGGTGATGATGATGCTCATGACTGCACCAACCAGTTTTCGGGAGCATTGCCGGGATGTTGACCGAGCTCAACGGCTGTTCCGTGGTCGTTTGGGCTCAGGGCCGCGGGCTACCCTCGCCACGGCGGTCGCAGGTCTGCAGCCTGGCCTGATCGCGTGCCCAACGTCGCGGGAGGGAGTGGGCGGCTCGGCGCGGCCAGGCCCCAACAGCTGCTTCCGTTTGCGGGCGTTGCTCCCCTTCTGAGGGCTTTCTGGCCGTTCGCGGCCCTCTCCCCCCTTCCCTCCTGGCCTTCCTCGCCGCCTCAGTGCCCAATTTGCACCGCAGCAGCCCTGCCGTAGCCGCGACCGCAACCTGGATCCAGGGCGCCGCCGAGCAAAGCTGTGGGCGTTGGTTTCCCGCATCGCGGAAAGCGCCTGGCTCGCGGGGGTGGTGGCTCCACCTAGCCGCCCGCGCGGTCGCGCCGCGCCCGCTCGCCGAGGGGTGGGCGGGCATTGGGCAGGCTGGTGCAGCGGCTTGCGGTCTCGAGGTGTCCGGCAGCCTGTCCGGGGCTGGAAGGAAAGGGGGTTCGCCTCGTGAGGCGAGGCGCCGCCTGAGGGACCTCCTTCCGATGAGGAGGACGAGGGGCGCTGGAGGGAGCGCCAGCGGGGGCTCCCCGGGCGGGTTGCGCTGGGCGACGCGGTCGGCTACTTAGTCGTCCTGCTGTGCGCACCGTTCTCAGTGGGTGGCTCGGGCGGACGACGACGGTCTCGACGTATACGCCACGTCGTTTGGCCAGCCAGGGAACCGATGAGTTCGGCGAAGGATCTCGGTGCATAAACGCTCCAAGGCGTCCATGCACCGAGCTCCGTGGCCGACCGAGCGACGCGGTGTATACATCGAGCCCCGCCCAGAGGGCGACGAGGGCGCCGTTTTCTTGACGGCGTTGGCCGGAATACCCCGAGGCCGCGGCGGGGGCAGGGCCGTTTCAGCGGGCGCCGTGGTGGCCAGGGCGAGGCCCAGACCGCGCCGCGCGCCGAGGGCACCCGCTGCCGAGGTGCCCCCGTGGGTGTGCATCGGTGGCGCTGAGCGGTTCAAGCCGCTCATGAACTTGGGCTAGAAGAGGCTTAGCCAACGAGCGTGCGGTGAGTGTAGGCAACTGCCCGACGAACCACTGCTTGGTGCCGCGCTGGGCACCCATCCGAATTACATAGCAAGTAGAGAGCACAAACCATCAGAAGCCATCGTCAACCATGAACCATCAATCATCAACCAACAGTCATGAATCATCGAAGTCAGTCATGCGCGAATTCCGCAAAGACGAGCGCCACCTCGTGATCAGGGCCGACGGAAGGGGCGTTCGCCGTCGACGGGCGCGGCGGCTGCTGTCTCGAGGCCCACTTCGAGCGGTCTCTCTCCCTGTCTCTCTCTCTCTCTGTTTCTTTCCGCTGTTTCTCGAGGTTCCTCACGGGTGAAGGTGGCGACGCTTTGATCCACTTCTGCGATGCCGCGAAGAGTATTTGCGCAGTCGGAGCCCAGATAGGTGGCGATACGTCGTGCACGTCGACGAGTATCAGCCGATGCCCGACATTCGCTGCAACGGGGCTTTAACTCCAGTGCCCAGAAAGCGCACCTCCCTTCCGCGCTGGCCGACCCCGCGGGCGACGCGGACCTGCTCGACGCTGACGACGAAGACCGCAAGCCGAATGAATCGGCCTGATTCGTGTGAGAGGCTCGCCGAGTTGCGGCAACTCCTTGGGCGGCCGTAGCAGCGGCTTTTGGAAGCGAGCCGAAGGGTTGACCGCCGCAGTCAGGGTAGCCCAGAGGGGCCCCCAAAGACGGGCCTGACGAGGCTCCCAAGGCGCCCCAAAAGGGCTCCAAGAAGACTCCCAAGAGGCACACATCGTCCTAATTCCCTGGGACAGCGCCCGCTCTTGTGATAGTTGCCTTTTGGTCTTGACTGCGTGCAAGACGTCCCAAGGCTCACAAGATCGCCTCAAGACGGCACACGAGGCCCCCAGAACTGCCAGAGGGACACCAGAGGCCCAAGGGATTCAGGTCGGACGAAAGGGAATCGCGCACGTGCTTGCTGACAGGGCGGCGCGGCTTCAGCAGTGGAGTCGGGGCGCCCGTCCGCAGAGGATGGCGTGCGGCCTGGCCCAGGAGATGGGCGCATGCGACAGCTCGGCGTTGGCCCGCCCGACGACGTGGGCAGGTGGGGATGCGCTGCGCGAAGCTCCGCATGATCGAGGAGAAGTCGAAGCAGAACGAGAGAACCTCCTGAGTGGAGGTGAGAGGTCAGGAAGCTCCTCGTCGTCTCGACGAGCCAGCCGCGCCGAGGAATCGGCCTTCGACGGATGCGATCGTGGCAGGAGTTCCCACGGGCGGCGCAGCGCAGGGTAGGACAGCCACAAAGAAGAGGAGGAGGGCAAGAGCATCTCAGGCCTTGGGTCCTACGATGAGGCGGACGACGATGCCGAGGAAGGGCGTATCGTTATGTTGGTTTTGACCAGCTTGTCCACAGCAGGATGTCGATGTCACGCTACTTCGCAGTCGCAGGCGCGGCGATGACCTACCAAAATCCAAGTAAGCATGGTATGGCCTTAATGGATCGAATCAAATTGTCGAGCATGAGCGAGGAGGGCGGATGAGGGAGGGTAATGATCAGTAACTTGTTATGGTTGTTTCTATATTTCTTTCTTTCTTTCTTTCCTTCTCTCTCTCTCTCTCCCTGTCCGAGCAGTACTTCGCCCTCAACGCGTTGAAGACCCTTGTCGCCCTCCCTCGGCACAAACAAGTACGCACTCAGCAGCAGATATTGGCGTCACGTTCCTCATGGGGAGTTTTTTCCTGTGCCTGTACAGCCTGGCGTGCTACCCCAGGATAGCGCAGCGGCTCCAGGGATTGATGCAAAGGGACGTCGGGCCTGAACCGGCGGCGTCTGCACCCCAGAGGTTTGCGTTGCGGAGCGGGGTGAGAGGGGACAGGCACGGGGAGGAGTGGAGAGGAACGGTCGAGGGGTCGGAGAGGAGCTGCGAGACGGGGGGCAGCGCGGAGGCGTGGGAAGTGGTGCCCGACAGCCGGCGGCGACGAGAGGGGCGAATAGCGCAGGGGCGGGCGTTACACGTATTCGCCCGGGAGCCTCGCCGAAGGCATGGACCATCGGTGCCCCTGGATGCATGTATTGCTCCCCCCTGGGCTATTCGCTCCCCTCGTCGCCTCCGAGACAACAGAGAGACATTGGCCGATTCCAGCGCTGCTTGCGACGGCTGCGTCAGTTCAACTCTCACCGTCGGCGAGGGGAGAAGATGTGCGCGTGAAAAGGAGCGGAGGCGAGGAGACCGCACATCAGGAGTCCTGGATGGCATAGCATGAGGACGAGAAGGGGATATGACGAGGACGGCAATTATCATTATGATGCTGAGCGCAATGATGGGGGCGATGATGATGGTGATGATGATGCTGCTGCTGATGATGATGGTGATGATGATGATCGTGATGGTGGTTGTGGTAGTGGTTGTGGTGCTGCTGCTTATGAGTTTGCAGAGGACGACGACGACGGCGATGAGGATACTAATGATGATGATTATGATGATGATGAGGATGAGTATGATGAGGATGAGGATGATGAATAATAATAATAATGCTAACGCTAAAGATATTAGGATGATTGTGATGATAGTGCTGCTGCTGATGACGATGTTGATGATAAGTAGTGTGATGATGATGCTGCTGATGATGATGATGATGGTGGTTCTGATAATAATATTGATGATTATGATGATGCTGATGCTGATGGTGATAGTGATGACGATGATGATTAGGATGATGATGACGATGGTGATGATGATGACGATGATGACGATGATGACGATGATGATGATGCTGCTGCTGATGATGATGATGATGATACTGATGGTAATGGTGGTGATGGTGACGGTGACGATGATGGTGACGACGGTGACGAAGTTGAATGTGGTTGTGGTGATGATGAAGTGGGGGAGGATGAGGACGAGGACCAGGATGGGAAAAGGGAGGAGGAAGAGCATGGCCAGTTGGAGTAGCAGGAGGGAGCGGTGGTGGTCTCCCCTCAGTCGCACTGTGGGCAAGGCGTGGGTAAGACACGGGTAAGGCTAAGGACAGCCTGGGCACGCGAACGATGGGGGTTGCCTCCCTCGTACTCTCTTCGCTCATCCCTCTCTTCCTCTTTCCTCTTTCCTGCCCGCACACCCTCCTATCTTCTCCCATTTCCTTTTCTCTCCCTCCTCCACTTCTTCTCGTCGTCGTCATCTTCCTCCTCCTTCTCTTGCTTCTGCCCCCCTCCGTCCTCCGTCTGCCTTCCCCCCTGCCCATCCCGCTCCTCCTCCTCCTCCTCCTCCTCCACCTCCTCCCCCTCCTCCTCCCCTCCTCCTCCGCCTCCTCCTCCCCCTGCTAGTGCTCCTCCTGCTGCTCCTCCTCCTCCTCCTCCTCCTCCCCCTCCTAGTGCTCCTCCTCCTCCTCCTCCTCCTCCTCCTCCCCCTCCTCCTCCTCCTCCTCCTCCTCCTCCTCCTCCTCCTCCTCCCCCTTCTCCATCTGAGTACATCACGGATCCCATTACCATTCCTCCTTCTCCCCCCTCTTCTGTCCCCCTTCCTCCGTCCTCTCTCCTCCCCAAACTGCCCGCTCATCGTCTACGGTCCGTTTATCCTTCCTGCCTCTTTCCCCTGCTTCACACCTCTCTCTTCTTTCTTCCCTCACACTCACTCTTTCTTTCTCACCCCTCCCTCCTTCCCCCATACTTCATTCCTTGTCCTTCCCTCCTTCCCTCTCCTCCCTCCTCCTCCTCCGATTGCGAAGGCCTTGCGGCTGGTGCCGCCGACCCTGAAGGGGGACGACGACAACAGCGGCGGAGGCGGCGGCGGCGACGACGCTGACGTGAGCCAGATGGATGTTTCTTAGGGTCTCTTCGGAAGGCTCTCGGGGGCCTCTGGGGAGGAATTCTAGGGCCTCTTGGGAGCCTCTTGGGAGCCTCTTGGGAGCCTCTTGGGGACTCTTCGGGCTTCATGGGGATCTCTTTTGGGCCTCTTGGGGCCTCTTGGGAGCCTGTTGGGGTCTCCTGGGAGCCTCTCGTGGCCGAGGGGTCGAAATGTCCGTTCGGGTCCCCCGTCTGGGCACTCCTCCGCCCTCTCCCTCATCGCCCCCTCCTCACCTCAGTCGAAGTACATGTAGTGCGAGTGCTGGAGTGTGCGTGCGCCTGCTGCCGTCTCGACTCGCGGGCGGCCAATCACAAGATGTTGTTCTGTTTGATTCGTGGGCGTTCTTGCCCCGTGACGAGTGAAAGGCTTCTTATTCTCGAGGCCGCCGCACATCCGACCATTTTACCTTGGTAGCTAAGCATCGGTCCGCTGACTGGTGCTCACACTGCGCACTCTGTGATTGTTGATTTTTCTCTCGCTCTTGTTCTGCTGACAAGAACGTGGTTTCGAGCTTACCGTCAGCTCTGGGCCGGTGACATGCAGAATATCGATATCAGCTGATGTGACTATTGATAAAATGTTGACATTTCTTGCCAGAGTTGTGCTCATCACAGGTTGTTGTCATATCCTGCTAGAGAGCTGTGCAAAGAACAGCTGCTGTGATTTCCTGCTAGAGGCGTGCAAACGTGTCGGACAATCTGAGTTTCGTTGATTCAGACCCAGATCATGGCCAGTTTGAAGGTTCCTCTGGCATGGTCCCCATAATGGAGTTCGAGGTATCCTTTCAGACGGTGGCTGCTAGATGCCACCTTCTGGAGCATCGCGAAGGAGATTCTAGACCAAACTCAACTCGCGGTGGTTGTGTTGCGCGATTGGGCGGTGCTGCCAGAGAGTTCGCTGACGAGCTTGATGCCCAGACGCTTCAACAGAGTCAGCTGCTGGGCTTGAACCACGATCTTGGTCCGAGACAGGTTACTGGGTTTGCGCTGCTGCTGCGTGGAGTTGCTAAGAAATGCGCACCGGAAACCAGCGAAAACGCAATCATCACTATGGCAGGGATGATGGTTTTCTCAGCCCAGCAGCACGCGAACGTAGACGTTGTGTTAAGCCAGTTCTACGTGTTGAGGAGGTAGGGCCCAGGATCATGGTCGTAATTCTGGTCCCTCAGGCTTGGTGCGGATGTTGTTGCCTAAGAGCAATGGTGAATTCCATGGGGCCGATTTAAAACGTAGAACGCCGCGGCCATGCGATCATTCAGGATGGTGACGTGACAGACTGCTGATCGGGTAGTTCGTAGTCTAGGAACTACGACACGTCGAATTCACGCTGGCTTAGGGACAAGCAAGGGACATTTCATGACCAATGACGGTGACACATCCGTGGCTTCTTCATAAAGCTCGGCATGTCGGATGGTGCAGACAGTGTTGATCAGTGGGGTGGCTTCTATCCGATGGCAGCTTCTCTTGCTGTTCCGCCCCCCAGCTCTGTGGACAGCAATGGCGGCTCCGACATCTCATGGTGCTGTGCAAGGGATTTATTTTGACGAGGACCATGTGTCATCATCAGATGCCGAGTACTATCCCGCTGATGGTGATCAGGACCTTTTCCACTTACCTGGCACGAGATGAGCGTGATATGCATGGCAGTGTTTTGTAGCGTGAATCTGGAAAGTCACGGAAACGAGGGAGACAGTTCAGCGGGAAGTCTTCCATATTCAATTGGCGCCATGTGCGGGAGACATTCAACTTCGGGGGAAAGAATCGGGGCCGTGTTTTTTTTTTTTTTTTTTTTTTTTTTTTTTTTTTTTTTTTTTTTTTGAAAACGTTTCCACTTCGGACAGCTGGCGCCAAGGCCGCCAGGTGGCGGTGCTGCTTCGAATTCATCGGGATTCGGTCCGGTCGCGGGTTCGGCATGTCAGATGGGCGCCAACAGCCGTGGTGGACAAGGTGGTTATCCGAAGGATGCCATGGGTAATGTGCCGCGGTGCCACGTTTCAACGGCGACCACCACTTAGCCGTGGGATGCCCGCAAAGGTAAGGAGAAAGTGGCGGCGGTCAGAGAAGAGCGTGCGCGACCAGTGCGGGGGGCATCTGCAACCGTGGTGGTTGCCAAGGGGCATGTGGCAGAATAGGATGCGTCTGCGCCGCAGCGGATGGAGCTGCCAGTGAGTGCGATCGCGAATCTTGTATTGTTTCAGACTCTCGTGAGCCGCGTGCCCTGGAGGATCTCGAGGGCAACCGCTGCGAGGGCGGGTTCGATAAGGGCGTCTACGACGAGGAAGAGGGCGCGCGCGAGCATGCAGCTCTCTTCCAACCCGGTGGAGGCAAGAAAGGATGGGCGGCGATCAGCGCGGAGGCACTTTTGCACATATTGTGCAGTCGAGCGGCATCCTTAGCAGCAGGCAGTCACAGTTGGACGGGAGGAGGATCAGTGCTTGCGCGGTTTCTGGGGCAATTGTCAAGCGAGCTGCTGCCGCGTCGGCGCCCGGGGGCCGCCCCGGCAGTGTTTTTGGTCAACGAGCTCCTGGGCCTCTTCCCGCTCGTGGTGCTGATGGCGCCGTTGCCGATGTTGCTGCAGCGATCTCGCCTTATCTTTTCCGTGGGCGTCCAGGGCAGGGGTTGTTCTGTCCAGCGCATGAGCGAAGTGGGTCGCGCGCTCGACGGGGCATGGTCGCTTGATTCTCGCGGGCTCGTCTTTCTAATGGCCGCGGTCTGGCTGCCCGTGGCAACTCGGCCAGTTTCGAGTGGTTTCAGAGGGTCGATTTCCGAGGGCGGCGGCGTGCAGGTGGAGTTCAGATGCATGGGTCGGCCCATCGGCCTGGAGGGTGTTGGCGGCAGGACAGACTCGTGCGTGCGTCGTGCTCGCCCTGTGTTGGCCCTTCTTTGTGGCGACCTGGGCGCGGTCGATGCCCCCGTCGGCTCGCCTGTGCCGACGCTGCTCGGTAACAACTGCGCAACAAGGCGATCTTGGACCGTTCCAGTTGCATTCTTTACTTTGTTGGCCCTGGTGATCATTAATTGCCGCTCCCGCCAGATTCCGAGGGGTGCGAGCTGGAGCTCTCCGTCGCTGGGCGCTGGGTGCTGCGCGTGACCGCGTTGGCCGATCGGCGCGCAGATTAGGCTAGCAGCAGTCGCGGCGGGGCCTTGGGGCTTCGCCTGCTGCGTTCCTCGTCTGCCTGACGGGGCGGCCGCGCGACTGCGGGCGCCGGGATTTCGGCGTGGCACGTGATCTTGGGTCGCGTGGCCGATGTCGAGCTGACGTCCAGCGCCGCTCCTTCGATATTGAGTGGCGCCGCGCTTGGCAGCGTTGCGCATCGTCCGTTAAACCGCCTGTCGCCTGCAGGGCTGGCGGGGCTGGCCAGAGATGAGGTGATGGTATATCCGAGTGGCGCGCCACCCGTGATTGAGCGTAATCGCGGCATGTTGTCAGTTTCCCAGACGCGTGGCAACCGCGGGCCCGTGGGGGCCGCCAATCTGAAGGAGATCGGGCGCCGGGCGTCTGGAGGTTGTCGAGGGAATGCGCGGAGGCGCAGCGGGCGACCAGATCGACTCCATATGGGTCATGAAGGGGGGGGTCCTCGAGGGCCAGCGCAACTTTGAGGGGTGGTTGACGGTCGGTGGTATCACGGGTCGCAGGAGCGCGAGAAGGGCCGCGTGACGATTGCAGCTGGAACGGCCTTTCGGCGGGGGTAGCTTGAGATGTGCTTCATTGTTGCGCGGCACTCTTGGGCGTTGTGGTCGCCGGATGTTTCCATGGCTTTCTTGCGCGGGAGCACTTTCGAAGGGCCTGATGACCAGCTTGGTTGCGAGGCGCGGAGTGTGCAGCTTTATCTTCCGCCCGACGGAGCGTCGTTTCCTAAACGGACAGCAGGTCTCGAAGGTGTCAATGAGACAACCGAGAGTTCGAGCGCGAAGAAGCTTGGCTTCGGCGTAAACGACGCACCGCGGGCTTAGCAAGTGGATTTGTCTGACGCTTTCCGCGAGCCCGGCCTCTGGCTGCCGTTCGAGGCCAACGCGTCGGTGGCAGTGTCTAGTACTCATGTTGACTATGCCGGGGGGCTTGTAGCGATGCTGCGCGGGAGTGGATCTTCAAGCGATGTCGTGGGACATGCGAGGGTGTCGCTATCAATTAGCCGCTTTTCGAGTGCGTCGGCATCTGGTTCGCGCAGGGCAGCGTTGGCGCGATTGGTATTGATCAGATCGCTGCGTTTCCTGGCTTCGTCCCATCACTGCTGCGCTATGCACGGGTCGAGCTGATGATGGGCCTGTTGACAGCAGCTGTCAGGGCCGATGGTAGAGCCTGCCGGGTGGCGTGGCGTGGTTGAAGTTGACTCGCGTAGATATTGTTGTGCTCGTGGGCCGAGACGCAGTCAGAAGGTTGCCGTGGCCGACGTGAAGGGTCTGAATACGTTGCTCAAGTGGATCAAGCGGCTGCTTTTCTGCGCCAGATGGTCAAAGATGGAGCCGCCGGTGTGCTTGTGCGGGATTGCCGAATTCGGCCCGTCGAGCTCATGATGATGATGATGATGATTGCTCGGCTCTGCTTGCGACAGTCCTTGTGGAAATCGCTTTGCGCGACCAAGTCCCTGGCGGCGCCATGCGCGTGTTGGTCTACTATGGCCGACGCGCGTTTGGAACAGAGTTGGCCAACCAGCTGGAGGCGCTGAGGCTTGGCATGTTGCGTTGAGGTTATTGGCATCAAGTGCTCGCTGGAGTTCGAGGGGCAAAGGATCTGCATCTCGTTGTGTAGTCTGATGTGGTGCAGAATGTTTCGTATATGATTGGGGATGCTCATGCAGTGTTCTCGTCGATCAATGCCGAAGAAACTGCGATGCCAAATGAGCGAAGTCAATTGTATGCGGCGCGTATTATGCAATACCCACTGGGATGTTACTCAATCGCGAGCTACGATGTGGCACTCGAGACAGTACGCGTGATGCCCTTGCGAAGGGTGCGATGCCTGGTGGCGCGATCGTGGATGAATTTGGTGCCAGGCGCTGGGTGATGTTGGTGAAGAAGCAAATTGTCGCGTGGCGCGACCGATCGATTTAGATTGTGGAAGATGCGTTGCCAGTCGAACCGTGCTGACCGTACGTACGTCATCAGCTGTAAATCAATGATCTGTATTGCACAAGCTGCAGATCGAAAGACTCGGGTCAATCATGCTGTTCCAAGGAAATTTGGCCGACCAGGTTGGTTAAACAAGTGGACACATGATGCTCATTCGATAACGTGGGTGGTATTCAATCGAGGAGGGTGGGCGAGTGGAAATTTGCAGTCTGCATCGAGGCGAAGGTGCTGGAGTCGAAGTGCATGTTGTGCGAGTGCTGATGTGTGCGTGCGCCTGCCGCCGTTACCTCTCGCCGGCGGCCAGCCATGACATGTTGTGCTGTTTGATTCGTGGGCGGTCTTGCCCGGCCTATCTGACCACCGTACCACCTTCCCCATCCTCCCCATCCTCCCTGTCGCCCCCCGTCCTCCCCCATCCCTTTCCCCCTCTTTGGCCTCCGTCCTCCTGTGCCGTCCCTCTTCCCCACCCCGTACCCCCAAGGGAGGGGGTCGCCCCCTTCGCCCGCGCGGGTGTGGCCCAGGCTCCCGATCGTCCGCTTCTGGTGCCTCTCCCTGGTGGCGCCGCTGCTAGGAGACAACGGTTTTGCGTGGCGTGCGGTCCCCTCCAGCTGCTCCTGCTCTTGCTCCTGCTGCTCTTCCACCGTTCTTCCGTCCCTCCAGGGCCCAGGCCGTTTTGGCAGAGTTCGAGCCTTGGGCAATTCCACGTGGTGTTTGGGGGACAGATCATTAGTTGTGTTGTTCGCGTGTGGCCCACGGCACAGCACATAGAGTCAACAAGTAGCGAAGTTCTTGCAGTCATCGCTATGGACAGAACGTTGTCCTGGTGCACGGGTTGCGGGCAGTCAGGATTGGATTGTGAACTCTTTGATGGGGACCAGAAGCGTGTCACTTGCGGACGTCGGGTGAAATTGTTCGCCCCCGTGACGAACATGTATATGCCGTCAGAACAGAGCATCCGTGCCCATCATATCCGAGAGCGACGACGAGGGGCACAGTAATCGGGGAAACTAGGCCGTGAAGGGGCTGGTGCTATCATCTCCCAGGGGCGCCCCCCGGGACCTTCGGGGGGTCACAGACCCCCCGGGACTGCCCCGGGCCGCTTCCAAATTGCCCGCGACAGGCCACGCGGGCCGTACAGATGGTCAAGAAAACCTCAAGGGCCCCGAAGACGCCCAATAGCGCCCCAAGAGGGCCCGTGATGGCTCGAAGATGGCCGACGAGGGCCCCAAGAGGGCCTTCAAGATGCAAACATCGGCCCATTCCCTTGATAAAACGTGCATTTCCAGCATACTCGCTTGCTTCGTCTTCACAGTGCCCCAGACGCCCCCGAGGAGCCCCAACACAGCCCAAGAGAGACCCAAGAGAGCCCAAGACGGCCCGAAAGGGTCGGCCTGTGGGGCTCACGGAACCTCCCAAGACGGCCCAAGAGGCCCCGAAGCCGGCCCAGGAGGCCCCCAAGACGGCCTCCAGGATGCCCAAGAGGGCCTCGTTGGAAATCATGTTCCCGGAAGCCTCTCCGGGAACATGATTTCCGGGTTCCCAGGACGCCCAAGAGGCCCACAAGACAGCCTCAGCGAGGCCCGAAAGGGCCCGAGATGGCTTGAAGATAGCCGACGAGGGCCCCAAGAGGGCCTTAATGATGCAAACATCGGCCCATTCCCTCCGTAAGACGTACATTTTCAGCATACTCGCTGGCTTCGTCTTCACAGTGCCCCAGACGCCCCCGAGGAGCCCCAACACAGCCCAAGAGAGACCCAAGAGGGCCCAAGACGGCCCGAAAGGGTAGGCCCCCCAAGACGGCCCAAGAGGCCCCGAAGCCGGCCCAGGAGGCCCCCAAGACGGCCTCAGGGAGGCCCAAGAGGGCCTCGTTGGAAATCATGTTCCCGGAAGCCTCTCCGGGAACATGATTTCCGGGTTCCCAGGACGCCCAAGAGGCCCACAAGACAGCTTCAGCGAGGCCCGAGAGGGCCCGGGATGGCTTGAAGATGGCCGACGAGGGCCCCAAGAGGGCCTGGAAGATGCAAACATCGGCCCATTCCCTCCGTAAGACGTACATTTTCAGCATACTCGCTGGCTTCGTCTTCACAGTGCCCCAGACGCCCCAGAGGAGCCCCAACACAGCCCAAGAGAGACCCAAGAGAGCCCAAGACGGCCCGAAAGGGTCGGCCTGTGGGGCTCACGGAACCCCCCAAGACGGCCCAAGAGGCCCCGAAGCCGGCCCAGGAGGCCCCCAAGACAGCCTCAGCGAGGCCCAAGAGGGCCCGAGATGGCTTGAAGATGGCCGAAGAGGGCCCCAAGAGGGCCTTCAAGAGGCACAAATCAGCCCGTTCCCTTAGTAAAACGTGCATTTCCAGCATACTCGCTTGCTTCGTCTTCACAGTGCCCCAGACGCCCCCGAGGAGCCCCAAGACAGTACAAGAGAGACCCAACAGGGCCCAAGACGGCCCAAAAGGGTCGTCCTGTGGGGCTGACGGAATCCCCCAAGACGGCCCAAGAGGCCTCAAAGCTGGCCCCAAAGCCGGCCCAGGAGGCCCCCAAGACGGCCTCAGGGAGGCCCAAGAGGGCCTCGTTCGAAATCATGATCTCGGAAGCCTCTCCGGGAACATGATTTCCGGGTTCCCAGGACGCCCAAAGACAGCCCCCAGAGGCCCTGGACGCGCCGAAGATGGCCTCAGGACGGCCGACGACGCCGCCAAAACGCCCCAAGAGCGCCTCCAGAGGCCCCTCCAAAGGGCCCCAGAAGCCGAAAATCATTAATTTTCCAGAGGTTTTTGAAGCATTCTTGCGCTCTCCCATGTTCCGCCTCCCCACGGTCCCGGACCGCGTCAGAGGCCCTTCGGATCGCTCCAAGACGGCCGAAGAGGCTCCCAAGAAAGCCCAGAGACGGCCCAGGAGGCTCCCCAGATAAGTCAAGAGGGCCTCGAGAGCGCCCCAAGAGAGCCCCAAGAGCGCGACATTTCAAGGTCTCTGGCCTGAGAGGCTCCTAGGACGTCTCGGAGGCCATCAAGAGGCTCCCAAGAAGCCGCGAGAGGTTCCCAAGAGGCTCCCCGGAAGCCCCAATGGGCCCCCAAGGGGCCCCCAGGGAAGCCCCCTGCGGGCCCCCAAGACACTTGGGTAAATCGTATTTCCCAGATAGCTTTCTGGGAACATGATTCCTTGGGCTTCCGCCCACCGCCCCAACCATGTTTCCAACAGGCTTGCCGACAAGGCCAAAAGGCGCCCCTCTGTAAGCCCCCAGAGGCCCCCCTCTTAGAGAACCGAACAAGTCATGCTCCCGGAAAGCTTCCCGGGAACATGATTCTGTGAACCTTTGCAGTTTCCATCGGAGTCGGCCCGGGGTCGGGGGGGGGGGGTCGGGCCGCTGCCTGTCCCCCCCATCGGTGCCCACCGGGCGTGGCGGGGGGGGGGCCAGAGCTCCCGAGGCGGCCCGAGCTCGCCCCGAAGCAGGCCGCGACAGGCTAAGGGGGGGTCCCGAGAGGGCCCAGCATGGTCCCACGAGGCCCCGAGGACGCCCAAGATGCCCTCAACACAGCCGACGAGGACTCCAGTTCGCTCCAGGACGGACTCAAGAGGCTCCCCAAGAGGGCCCTGGAAGGCAAGATTCCCTCGTTTTCCGAGTGTTTTGGATTTTGGCGTTCTCGCTTTTCCCGCTTTCCAGCGCTCCCTCACGGCCTCGGAGGTCTTTCAGATCGCTCCAAGAAGGCCCACGAGGCCCCGACGAGGGCCCCAAGACGGCCCAGGATGCTCCCCAGACAACCCAAGTGTCCCCCAAGAGCGCGCCAAGAGAAGGCCCAGAGGGGTCCCGAGGCGGCCCGGGCCCGCCCCGAAGCAGGCCACGACAGGCTAATGGAGGTCCAGAGAGGGCCCTAGACGGTCCCAAGAGGCCCCGAAGACGCCCAAGCTGCCCGCAAGACAGCCGACGAGGACTCCAACTCGCTCCAGGACGGACTTACGAGGCTCCCCAAGAGGGCCCTGGGAGGCAAGATTCACTCATTTTCTGATGGTTTTTGAAGGATTTAGACGTTCTCGCTTTTCCCGCTTCCCAGCGCTCCCTCACGGCCTCGCTCGGAGGCCCTTCAGATCGAACCAAGACGGGCCACGAGGCCCCGAAGACGGCCCCAAGACGGCCCAGGAGGCTCCCCAGACAACCAACTGTGCCCCAAGAGCTCCCCAAGAGAGGGCCCAGAGGGGGACCGCCAACCGACATTTCGAGGTCTCTGGCCCTAGAGGCCGCCTGTAGGCCCCCAGAGGCCACCAAGAGGCTCCCACGAAGCCCCGTGAGGCGCCCAAGAGGCCCCCAGGAAGCCCCAAGAGACCCCCAAGGGCTCCCAGGGAACGCCCAAGAGGCCCCCCAACACACCCCAAGAAATCATGTCCCCAGAAAACCTTCCGGGGACATGGTTCATCATGGGCCCGAGAGTTCCCGGAGGCCCCCAAAGGGGCCCCCAGGGAACGCCCAAGAGACCCCCCCCCAACACACCCCAACAAACCATGTCCCCAGAAAGCCTTCCGGAGACATGGTTCATCATGGGCCCGCGAGTCTCTGGAGGCTTCGAAGTACCATCATGCTACAGGAGAGCTGTCCTGGGAAGTTGATTGGGAACATGACTGATCGCCTTCTCGCGGCCCTCCGCAGATCGTTTCGCACATAGTTGTGCCCTCTTGAACCGACGACGACGACGAAACGACGACGACGACGACGACGACGACGACGACGACGACGACGACGACGACGACGACGCGCGACGCGACGGCGACGACGACGGACGACGGACGACGGACGACGACGCGACGACGACGACGACGACGACGACGACGACGACGGCGCGCCCCAACAGGCGACGACGACATTACGACGACGACGACGACGACGACGACGACGACGACGACGACGACGACGACGACGACGACGACGACGACGACGACGACGACGACGACGACGACGACGACGACGACGACGACGACGACGACGACGACGACGACGACGACGACGACGACGACGACGACGACGACGACGACGACGACGACGACGACGACGGCGCGCCCCAATAGGCGACGACGACATTACGACGACGACGACGACGACGACGACGACGACGACGACGACGACGACGGCACGCCCCAACAGGCTCCCCAAGACGCCCCCAAACCCATGCTCCCAGAAGGCCTTCTGGGAACCCGATTCATACGGCCTCCGCCCCCCTACACAACCATTTTTCTCGAAGGCCTTTCAGAATGCAGGTTGGCATGCGTGGACTGTGGTCCACTACTTCAGTGGAGCAGTGTATTCGTCAAGGCCTGGGGCCTGCTAGAACGTCAGCGCGCGCGAAGCTCGCGCGATGGTCCGAGTGTATATATCTATATATATATATATATATATATATATATATATATATATATATATCGATATACCTCTTCCTATATTTCTATAAGCCCGGGCGGGGGGAAAACCCGTCCCCCCCCCCCAAAACCGGACTCCCGGGATCTGGGGTTTTGGGACCTTCCGGACCGGCCTCGAAGCGGCCACAGGGGGGTTTGCCAAGCCTTCCCAGCACACCTAGGGCGATCAGG